GACTAACAAGAGGAAAAACTGCAAGTACTGATCCTACACTTGGAAGAGCTGAAAACACTGCATTACAATGGTTATCTTTGTATTCAAGATTTTAGCTTTGAGATGCAGGGCCTTATTCTGCCCTCAATGAAATCAATAGAAGAGTTACCTTTTGAAGTGGGATGGGGAGATAATATAGGGAGAAAAGTTAAAGTACAAATGAAGTTATGCTAGAAATCCCCTTAATAATATATACAGTTTACCAGTACTTTATTGCAATGAGCGAGGTGCTGGAGCTCAGGCAATTATTTTATATTGATAACTGATGCAGCAAACCCAGAGGAGCTGGGGCTGTGAACAGCTAAGCCTAGAGATGCTGGAGCTCAGCGCTGGCAAGCTGGCACAAAGTAAGCATCACAAAATTAACGCATTCTTCCAGATGATAGGTGATACTGCTTAATTGTTAAATACAAAAGAATCACAAATGGTTATCTGGGTTTAGCTAAGACAGGATAGCTTATTTTGTAAACAGCTCCCAACAACAGTAATCTTTTGAAGTAAGTCCTATGAGGTCTTCACCTTTTAAAATATAAAGCAAATTTCCAACTAAAACTCATGTAAAGATTATGGGTAGACATTTTCAAAAGCACCTTATTTACATAGGATCCTATATCTCATAATGTTTCAGTAACTTTTGAAAATGTGACTTAGGCTGTGTAGTCACGTAAGTGCATTTGAAAATGTAATTAATATCTCTAAAACACTATGTGGATGCTAGATTTTAATATAGTTACTGTTAACAAAGATACCACAAATTGTGTTACAGATACTGTTCTCAATAGTAATATTCCTCTTTTATATGAAACTTTCGTATCTTTCTAGAACATGTTTTATTAATAACATTGTTTATTGAAGATGGAATTAAAAATGTTAAAAAAGGTGTACACTGTTCAACTCTAGGACATGCTGTTGATAGGGTGTGTCCTTTGAGAGTAATGAGTGACCCTTCTTAAATCCATATAGGTGTGCTGTTTTCTGCAGGACGTTTAGCACTCCCAAACCCAAATACAATCTTAATTTTTCCTTCACGTAGTCAGGTAACAAGAATCAATGGAGATTGTATTTGGGTCTCTATTCTTCGTAAAATCCACAGTTGAGGTACTACTTTTACACCCTGTGGCACCTTATAGACTAACCGAAGTGTTGGAGCATAAGCTTTCGTGGGCAAAGACCCACTTCGTCAGATGCATGTAGTGGAAATTGCCAGAGACAGGTATAAATATGCAGGCCAGAATCAGGCTAGAGATGACGAGGTGGATCCAATCAGGGAGGATGAGGCCACTTCCAGATCAGCTACTAGAAGTGGGCCTCATTCTCCCTGATTGGATCCACCTCGTCATCTCTAGCCTGATTCTGGCCTGCATATTTATACCTGTCTCTGGCAATTTCCACTACATGCATCTGACGAAGTGGGTCTTTGCCCACGAAAGCTTATGCTCCAACACTTCGGTTAGTCTATAAGGTGCCACAGGACTCCTCACTGCTTTTACTTTTACACAGTCTCTCAAAGACATTTTTATTTGAAGGAAGACAGCATAAACTATACAAATTATGACAACCTTAGCCTATTAATTTCCTAGTTTTTCATTTAAAACAGTAGTCTTTTTTAAAAAGTGTTTGACGTAATTAAGTTTACAACTAGAAAATTTTATCAATCCAGTTTCTAGATGTAATCTAGACATCAGTAATTTAAATGATTTGTTACTTAAAACAGTGTGAATTTCATGGTAAATCTTTAAGCAAATATTGTAGCTAATCATAAATAACAATGTGTAGCATTTACTCATCTGAATGCTTCTTACTAATTTCCAATATAATTATCCTCGCATATATATTTTTCTATTTGCACAGTTATTCATGCTAAAGTAAAGGGTGTAGACAGAGGTAGCTGCAATGAAATAACCACCGTGGTTGAAGTGAAAGAAACACTTAAGTCTTCAGTGCCTATTCCTCGGTCTCAAGTGCCTCTTCTTACTAATTCATCCTGTCAGTGTCCACATCTTCTCCCAAATCAAGATGTTCTCATTATGTGCTATGAATGGCATTCAAGGTAAGCAATTACAATACAGTGTAGAAAATTACTGTAGTCAAGTTTAATGGAAAACAGGCAAGCAAGCAAGTAAGCAAACAAGAAAAGGCCATTTTCTCTGTTCAGAGGAACAGGTGAACCAAGTGCCAAATTTAATCCCCTGATTAATATCCCATATACAGTTTTGAAGAATATATACAAATATTCTATTAGTTTAACAAGCCTGTAACTTCAAGTAACAACATTAACATTTCAAAATTCACTTATACATTTCATAAACAATCTGAACTTTGATCTGCAACACATACTTACAAACTTTGATGTGCACATGGAACTGAAACTCTATGGCATGGTAAATGCAGCCATCACAACTTTATTTGAAGTTATTACCCTGCTGGGCTAACTACTGCAGATTACCCAGAAGGAACTAGTTAGAGAAAAACAGATTTTAAAAGTGAAAGATCATCATCTGCTTTTTTATTTGTGGAAAGCCAACTAATCACCAAATATGTTGTGAATTATTTGGAAAGGTCATTGAGGTTTTTATTTTAATATGCACTACTAAAATGGATTTGAATACCCCCTCCCCCCACAATCTGTTATATGTTTCCTGTTAAACTCAATGGCATGTAAACAGAAGGTTTTACGTTACAGTGGCTTTTTTAAATGTCAGAAATCCTATCTCCATTGAAGTTAATGGCAAACACCCATTGATTTCAATGGGACCAGGATTTCATCCAATAACTAGTTTTGAGCCAAAGTAACATCAGCTTTGAAGGAAATATTACATTGTGGTTTCATTTATAATGATTTTCCCTTCAGTTTAATGCTACTATTTTTTTCAATAATCACTACTCCAGGACAGAAGGAATGGTGTATTGCCCCATTTTTCCACTGCATTGCTAGCCATTTACATATGTGCAACATGGTTGCAAAATGCTACCAACTCCGCAGGTACCATTTTATGTTCACTTTGTACTGTGTTCATGACTACCTGGGCTGCAAGACAGTTGAGAATCAGGCCCTATAATTGGTAGGGATGTGGAGGCCCTATATTAGGGTAGGATGTGAGGGCTCCAGAAAATTCTCTATAAGGGCATGTCTACACCAGGGACTCATTTTAAAAGAAGTTATTTCAAAATAGTAACTCCTAAAATAATTTCAAAATAATGCTATTCCTCTTCACAAGCAGGAGTTATCATATATATAGTAGCCCGATGTCTGTGACTCTGTAACAATGAAATGCTGGCTATTCCCTCTGGGCGCCGCTGTTGCCTGAGTTATGTCCTTCGCCTCTCGCCGTGGCGCTTGGCTGACTTCTGCACCGCTCAGAAGGGCCACCGCGGGGGAGCAAGCAGCGCAAGTGGCCATTTGGGCACCACGGTCTCCATGCAGCACAGGGCGCGGGGGCAGGGCAGTGACGTATACGGCCACAAGGCAGGGCCCAGCCGTGTACGTCACCTCCCCGCTCCCCTTTGCCTCCCTCCATGGTGCTCAACTGACTTCTGCGCCACTCAGCCAGGCCGCCGCAGGGGAGACCAAACGGCCACTTGCTCCCCCGTGGCAGCCCGGTGGAGCGGCGCAGAAGCCAGCCGAGCACCAAGGCTGGAGGCGAACGGGGGTGGGGCGGTGATGTGTGGCGTGACAGCGGCTCCAGGCCCCGCCCCCCTGGCTGTGAACGTTACCACCCCACCTCCCTTCACCTCCTGCAGTGGGGCTTGGTTTACTTCTGCGTCACTCAGCCACGCTGCTGCATGGGAGCAAGTGGCGCAAGCGACCGTTTGGGTTCCGTGCTCCCCATGCAGCACAGGGAGTGCGGTGCCCAAACAGCCATTTGGGCTCCACGGTCCCCCGAGTGAGAGGCAGGAGTGGGATGAGAAGAGGAAGAGAGAGACAGAGAGAGAGGCAGGGGGGGGGGGAGAGAAAGAGAGAGAGAGATAGAGCGAGAGACCAGAGACTCAGGAGAGAAGACCAACGTGGAGGAGAGACCTGAAAATCCCGTCTTATGACGGGCTAATTGGCTAGTTTCAAAATAACAAGTCCTTTATTTCAAAATAACAGGCTTGGTAGTGTCGAAGCTCACTTTGTTATTTTAAAATGTAAGGTTGGACAGTGTGATATAACGTTCTTATACCTGCATAACTCATTAGCCATACTAGTATTAGCAGTGTCCTACTGGATCAAACCATCTAGTCTATTATTCTGTGTCTGACAGTGGCCTATATCAGCACTTTTAGAGGATTATATCTCATAAGTAATACAATTGTCTTAAATAAGTGCCAAAGAAATCCTTGTGCCTCCATGAATAATCAGGTAGTCTCTTTCTCCTGGTGACATTTCTCAGCTAGAGTTACAACAGCAGCCCCTGTATGTCACTGTGTGATATGGCCACTGGAGCCACATAAGTTAGAGCTGGCTGCCTTTCCTCTAGCCCAACCTAACATGGCCCTCATCCTGGGCTCATTGGTTACATGCAGCCCCTCTCCCCACACTGCTGCCTCTAATACATAGGCAGCAGTGGAGGAGGACAGGTGGGAGCCAGTGTTCATGGTGGAACTGCTTGCGCCCCCCTCCCCCAGTGCTTTTGAACCAGAGCAAGCAGCTTGGGGGTAGGCGGAACCACTTCCCCCTGCTTGTAAATGTGTAACTGCTGAAATTTGCAGCAGTTACAGTGTTTTACCTGAATATACACATTTTAATATCCCTAATAGAGACTTTGTCTGTCTGTCAGCAAGGGTATAGAGACATTGTTATGCCCTGCAATTGTCCCTTTGAGAGACTGAAACGATTGGGCCTTGTGCTGTCTTCCACAGACAGAAAACGTGTGTAATTAATTGATTAATTAAATGAAGTGTCATGGGACATGCTACCCAACCCATTGTTCTTTATTCCTGGTGAAGTTGGGATATCTTTCACCTACAACACTATTGCAGATAAGGATATAGGTCCTCGAGTGTTTCATAGACACCAACATAATGCTGCACTATATGGGTGGCAAAAACATCAAAGAAATACCAGTATTTTAAAAAACAATGGTTTAATTGGAATTAAAAAAATAATACATGGAAACATTTATGTTGGTCTTAGGGTTTGTAAAAGTTTATTTGTAGAAAATTTAAATTTTGGGGCTCCTGTTGAGCTGACTGTTTCCCTTTGGAAATCATTTCTTGTCGATGGTAAATCAAGTGGAATGATGACTTAGCACATAAAATCAGGGATAATATCTTTTAGTTATCTGGTATATAGGAAACTAGCTATAGCTCACATTTTTGTATTTTAAAAATTTTAGACTGATGCTTCTTGATGGATGTTTAGTTGAAAAGTGGAAAGATCAGCTAGATAAAAGATACAAGGTAAGTATAACTAATGAAAGTAATGTTTACCTTCTTAATAAAAAGTCAGCCATCAAAATCTACTTGAGCACCTAAATAAATTATCAGAATTTCAGAGATATTGAGCAGTGATAGCTGCCACTGTCTTCTGTGAAGGTATTTAGCAACAAAGAACTTTTAGTTAGATGACCAAATGTAGATCTAAGAGTTTAAGTTTCAAAATTTTGGCCTTAAATTTTGGAGGGGGTCTCTCATGACATGTATAGGTTTTTAATTTTCTGTGCTGGAAACAATTTTTATTATAAAAATCTAAGATTTAAAAACATTTAACAAAAATCTAAAATATTTCTAATATGTAAATGTTTTATGTTAGTGTTTTTTTCCTAAGCATTGATTTGCTACAATGAACTTATGAATTATTTTCATATAGTTGCTAATGCATTAACTATGAAAACCTCTCACTGTTAATTATACAGTACTCATTACAAAATGAATATGAGAATAAGCCCAAATCCTGTTGCACTCAGTGAAGCCAAAGTAAACAGGCTTTGATCCATTTAGAAACATTGCAGGACTGAAGCATGGAATCCTAATCACTAAGAAATCTACCTAGAATCTACTGACCTGTTTGGGAGTCTCCCCAGGGATTTCAGTGGGCTATGGACTGGGCCTTAAGGTGTGTCTACAAAGCACCCGAAACTCGAAATAAGATATGCAAATTGCATAGCTTATTTTGAGACTATTTCAAAATAACTTATTTTGTCATTTGGCACTGTCTACACAGTGGCAAATTTCGGAATACAGCTCTATTTCGAGCCATCTCTTAGTCCTTGTAGAATAAGGTTTACAGGGATGGAGAAATAGTGAGTCTGCTATATTTTGAAATATATAGATTGAAATATATAATAAATTGTGCTCCACAATTTGCGTAGCTTTTTCCGATAGCTTTTCCAGAAAAGGCTTTTCCACCATTTGGCCCCGTCTAGATGGGGCAAATCACAGAAAAGCCTCCTCTTTTGGCAAAGCCCTTATCCTCATGAAACGAGGAATACAGGGCTCCCTGAAAGAGCGTGTTTGCTCCTCTGCGAAAAAAAGCGGAAGAGCAATCGCGTTCCTTGAACATGGTGGGGTTTAACCCTGTAGTCTAGATGTAGCCTAGGTTACCTCCCTCATTCAGTAAGAATCCCACAATTTCTATGACCACCTTCTTGTTCTACACCTGTAGAAACCCTTCTTGTTCTCCTTAACATCTCTTGCTATCTGTGCTTTTACCCTCCTGATTACATCTGTGCATACATCAGGCAATATTTTTATACTCCTCCCTAGTCTTCTGTTCAAATTTCCACTTCTTTTAAGTTTCCTTTTTCAGTTTAAGCTCACTACAGATTTCTCTGTTAAGCCAAACAGTTTGCCATTCTTTTCTGCAACATTGGGATGGCTTGTTCCTGTGCCCTCAGTAAGTCTTTTTTAAAATACAGCTAGCTCTCTTGGACTCCTTTTCCCCTCATAATAACCTCCCATTCTGCCCATCAGTTCCCTGAGGGAGTCATAGTCTGTTTTTCTGAAGTCCAAGATCCTTTCTCCCTTTTGTCAGGATCCTGAACTCAAATCATCTTATCATAGAATCATAGGGCTTGAAGAGACCTCGGGAGGTCATCAAACCTAGCCCCCTGTCCAAAGAGTCCATCCCTCTGCCCAGTGATCTTATGATCATTGCTGCCCAGACAGCCATCTATTTCTACTTCCCCTACTAATTCTTGCCTGTTTATGAGCAGCAAGTCAAGAGGAACATGACACCTAGTCGGTTTCTCCAGCATTTGCACCAGGAAGCTGTTCCGAATACATTCCCAAAACTTTCTATATTGTCTGTGTGCTGCTTATTGTTCTCCCAGCAGATGCCAGAGTCTGAGATCTGGAAAATTCTGTTAGTTGTCCAAAGAAAGACTCATCCTCCTCATCTGGTGGTCTATAGCAGAGGCCCACCATTACATCATCCTTGTTGCTCTCAATTAGCCTATGTACCAGCTGGTATTTTTGATTTTGTTTAATGTGCTGAATGGGGTTGTTGCTGAATAACACAAGACTCTATTACTGCAACACTTCACAGGACTGATGCTAGATATTTTGTCACCCCACGCAAATCTGCATACACATTGTCCTTCACACGTTACAATGTACCCCTAAAAATTCATTGCCAAGGTGGTCATCTAGCTAGCCTATTTCTAACATTATCCCAGTTATTTTCAGTCTAGTGAAAAGATGAACCCAGAATCTATATGCAAGTTTCCTACACAGTGATACATACACTTTTAAAGAATAAGCTGCTCTCCACTTAACTGAAACAATAGGCCAAGTAGGCATGTTCCTTAAATCATTTAGTACTAGTCCTGCAAAGATGTGGGCACACATATATCCTTAAGCCCACTGACTTCACTTAAGTCCCAAGGAATTATGAGCTTTTGTACGTATAGATCACTTTTCAGGGTAAGGGCTATAGCATGCAGTTACTTATTGCACCAGTTTCATTGACAATATCACTGAATCAATGGGAATGTAGACTGCACAAGAAGTACAGGACCAGGCTGTTACTGTAGTAATTGATGACATATTGACAGCAAAAGTACCGTAAAATGTTACGCTATTAAGACTGTACTAGAGATAACAGTTTGCAAGCTATTATTAATAGAATATAGTAACATCTCTTTCTAAGTGTTTTGTTTTGAAATTATTTCCCTAGAGGTGGGAACAGAGACTGCAAGAACAAAAGCTGCAACCAGCCCATGATAAAAATCAAAACATTCGACGCACTGGTCGGAGTGGTACACCAAAACTGAACACCAAGAATACCAACCCCATGCTGGCAACCCCCCAAAAGACCACTAAACTAAGAAATTACCAGAAAGAAACAACCCCCCAAAAAAGAAATAACCAGAAAGAAACAACTGCCAAAAAAGCATGAGTTACGAGTTTTCTTGAGGAAAGACTTTCTTGCATGATGAGGGTCACAAACTGGCTTGAGTAGCATGTGCATTACCCCAGAACTCATCAACTGCAGTATTCTACATAGACATTTTTGTAGCACTTTACTTTTACATGTTTGCCTTTTATTTTAAGCCACTGCAAACCCTAGATTGAAGGTTTGCACTGATGTGTAGTAAGCATATTAAAGCTGATTGATGGAGCTTATATTCAGAGGAATTGAACATATAGTTTACCAATAAGCAACAGGATATGCATTATACAATTTTTTGTGTGTCCTCCCCAAAATACACTTACACTATTAGTAATTGAACTGTATTTGTTTGTGTAGCAAAAACACATAAAAAGGAAACATTTAATATTGTATTGTACTTCAGGCTGGCTTCCTTTGTTATAACTTTAAATATATTTAAATATTTAGATGAAAAATCAGATGTTTTAAAAAGAACAAATTAAACTGACACAAAACTATAGTGTGCTTAACAGTAACATTTACATGTTTACCATTTGCTGAAATTTGGCTTTGTTATGAAAAGTTACTTAAAACAACTGGAAGGAAAACATATTATTCTGTTACTGTAAACGTGTCCTTCAGGCTATGTCTAAACTACATCCCTCTTTCAAAAGAGAGATGTAAATTAGGTAGATCGAAAGTGCAAATGAAGTGGGGATTTAAATATCCCGTGCTTCATTTGCATAATTGCATCACCAGGGCTCCTCAAATCTGCTTATCTACTCGCCCATGGTGAGTAGATTTCAGCCGGTCGCCCCGTTCACCAGTGGTTCGCACATGCACAGTGCGGGTGGTTTTTGCCGCGATTGTCGAGCCCTGCACATCACAGTGTTCTTTAGAGAAAGGGTATTTCGAAAGTGAAACTGCCGTGTAGATGTGGTTCTATAGGAAAAAAACCCTTTTTTGAAAGATCTGTACTCCATCAAAAAAAGAGGTGTACAGGATCTTTTAAAAAAAGGTTTTTTTTTTTTTTACCCCTGAAAGAACCATGCCTAGACAGTGGTTTCACTTTCGAAATACCCTTTTTCAAAAGAACGCTATGATGCGATTATGCATATGAAGCACGGGATATTTAAATCCCCACTTCATTTGCACTTTCGATCTGCCTAATTTACATCCCTCTTTCGAAAGAGGAATGTAGTTTAGACATGCCCTCAGTTACGCTGTAGTGCAGATGTTAAAATACACAAGAGAGGAACAAGTGTATTTCAGTAGTAAAGCAGGCCAATGGCCATTTTACCACTGGAGACCTGATTTTAAATTTCACTTAGATCACACAAGAAAATGAGATTGCTACACCCTGTTCATAAACTATTATGCAGTTTGGCACAACTGGAAGGCATTCATTGTCTTGAAAAAGGTCCAGGACAAAGTTGATGCTCATGTGCTTAAGGATAAATATGCTTAAATGTAGGGATGTAAGCGACTGGTCAACTACCCAATAAGCATATGCTTACTGGGTAGTCGAGTAATGAGTTGACTAATCACTCTCCCCCTCCCCCAGCTTCTATCAGAGACAGGTAGCAAGTGGGGGAGGGGAGGCGCTGGAACCAGTGCTGGAGGGATCTGGCTTAAAAGCTGGTTCCCTGTTGCACTGTCTTCAGGAGTGGGGGCGGGAGGGAGAGGGGTGCAGGGAAGGCAGAGGCACAGTGGGGAAATGGCATGGGGCTCTTGCTACATTTCAAAGGCAAAAGTGCAGCAGTCGGAACATGAAGTTAGGGGGGACTGCCTGAGTCCCCACTCACCCTGGGTTCCCCGCTGTTCTTCTGCCTTTTAAATGTAGCAAGAGCTGTGGACCAGGACAGCAATCACCCCACCTCACACTTTATTGACTAATCAAGTGTCGATGGAAATTTAACATCCCTACTCAAATGCTTTGCTGAGTCAGGACTTAAAACAGTAAAGGTGAGGTAACTTAAATACGAGGTATATTGGCACAACTCAGGGGTGCAGTTTCACTACTCTTGACTGCACTCTGCCTGGCTCAAGCCACTGCTACTGGGGTGCTCTGTTTTTTTTTTTTGCTAACAACTATTTAATGCCATTGTATAATGAACATTTGGTTGTTAAAGTTTCAGTGCCCCTGAGCTTTAATTAGGATGTGAGAGCTTACAATGAATGTCTCTAAGACTCAACTTCTTCTAACAAAACCATAAAAATACTAGACTTTACATTCCTGGTATTTTCTATCTTTAAGGGGCAAAATACCATTCTTAAAAACAAGCAAGCAAACAAGCTTTCCTACCTTCTTTACCAATCTTAAATAAGGAGAAAGCCCCACAAACCCAAGTTTAAAAAAGTTCTTTGCATGTCTCCTGATTTATCATGTCAGCACACTAATGTATTGATACATTTTATTGGAAGAATCCTAATCAAGGTTGCACCCATGTATCTGTGGACATACTTTGTGACCCTGAATTGGTAACAGAAAATGTTCTAGCATAAGCAACAAAAGATGCCAAAATAAATCCAAATAGCCCCTTGCAAAATATTACTTTCCTTAGCCAAGTTTGTACCAGTGCAGCACATTCACCTTGTTCACTGGCATGCAAGTTAATCAACTTTTCATGTATGCGATTTCTAGCTACAAGACCCTAGAATAGCAGTGGATGTGTGCTTTGTATACTTACACAACTAAAAGAACCAAGTGACAAAAAGTTCAGGCCAAAATGTCCAAACGTGGGCATCCTAAGGTAGGCATCTCCTGCAACTGGGTTTGGGCAGATGCAAAAATTCAAGCCACCAGAATTGGGTACTAAATCTGTATATAGGTGCCTGATGGTATGTCTACATTACGAAAGGGTCTGTCTACTCTACGGGACACAGTTGAATTAAGATCTGCAACATCAGCTACATTAATTGTGTAGCTGATGTTAAAGTACCTGAACTTGACTTTTGGTGTTTTCCACGCTGCAGGAAGTTCTAGGGAGAACACTCTCGCTTGGACTTCCCTTCCTCCTGGATTGAAGTAGGACTACCCGCATCCACTGAAGTGCCCCTGTCAATTTGACTTATCATGTCTTCAGTGGACCCATTAATTTAAACCCTGGAAGATTGACAGTGTAGACATACCCAAAGTGGACTAATCTTCAGAAGTGCTGAGAACTCATAGTTCCCATTGGTTACAATGGAATTGGGGATGATCAGCTTCTCTTAACTCAGGCCACATAGGTGCCCTAAATAAAACTAATGGATGAAATTCTGTTTCCAGTGAAGTCAATAGTAAAATAGTGGAACCAGGATTTCACTTGAGATGCCTAAATTAGACACCCAAATTTGAAAATAGTGACTTAAGAAGCATAAGCTAAAAATTCAATATTTTAAAAAAGCTTCTAAAATAATATGCTTTTAGAGCATTGTAGAAGCTCTAATGTTTTGTTTTAGAGCTGTATAATATCTTAACCCAGTAGGAAGTGTAATTACAGGCAGTCCCCGGGTTACATGGATCCGACTTACATCGGATCCCTACTTACAAATGGGCTGAGGCAACCCCGCACTAGCTGCTTCCCCCCAGCAAACCAGGGAGATGTGAAGCTAGCGCGCCCCCCAGCAGACCAGGGAGATGCGGAGCGGCTTTTCTCAGCAGACACCTCAGCTTGAGACTAAAGGACTGAGGGAAGTGAGGTGTGGAAGAATAAAACTGAGCTCTGGAGAAATGTTTGGCTAGAGTTTCCCCTACAATATGTACCAGTTCCGACTTACATACAAATTCAACTTAAGAACAAACCTACAGTCCCTATCTTGTACGTAACCCGGGGACTGCCTGTATTGAAAAGGGATCAACATTGTGAACATGGCATTGTTAAGCCAGCAAATACTGTAGTTGTGATACTTCACTTTAACAAGCTTTGTTGTGAGCATACAGTATTGTGAGCATAAGTGTGTGTGTGTTGAATGAAACAGCTGGAGCAGCTACTTAGAAACTGTAGCAGCATTACATATTTCACGTGTTAAAATCAAACTTTTATCCATAGCTTTTGTGATACTAAAGGAAAAATGTAAAAATTATTTGCTACATATAATTTACACCATTCCTTCATATTATAAGATCATTCAACATTCCACTATATGGGAATAAATATTGATGCACTAATACTAGAGGTTTTGTATATTTGCTTTTACATGTTCTCTAATGTACATTATATACATGTCTTAGGCTCATTGCACTTTCATTTTCCTAGTCTTTATAATTAGAAATATTTATAGTTAAAATGCTTGGGAATGAAGGACAATACTGCTGATAACATGGGCCAGTACTATATAAGAAGCAATCCTATCCACAAAAGGGAGATGGACTACATGAGCTAATTTCCATCTCTATTTTTATAACACTGTTACACACACACACACCCCTAATATAATTCTTCACATTTTAAAGTACCTTACAAATATTGGTTAACGAATTCACACAATGGTGGTATGAAGCTTCTTAGTGAATATTTTAACGTCTGAGTACTGATTTTGTTGCTAAAATATAGATTTAGGAACCAAATTTTAGCTACTTAAGTGTGAAACTTTTGGTTAGAAATTACATATCCAAAGCCACACAAACTTATTGTCATAGCCAGTGTTAGAACTAAGGGGTTCCTGATTCCCAGTCACTACAATTATTAATATAATGCATATATGCAAAGTTCTCATTATATGTTGATGGAGAAAAGTAATCTCTGTCTTTTTTAGTGCTGCCTCCCAATAGTTATGGGAGTAAACAACTTCATTAGTTTTAAGACAGAACTAGACAAATTTATGAGTGTGACTGTATTTTGGATCTGTATGTGCTGCTTGGGGGGAGGGCTACACTGGGGCTCATTTCCAATGTACGTCTTATGTTCCTAAATCTCATGTTTAAGGTTTCAGCTGGCCACCTGCAAGGGTCAGGATTTTGAGTGATTTTCTTCATCTCCTTCCTCTAAAGCATGAGGAATAGAGATGGCTGGAGATGAGATATTTGATGGGGAGGGCCAGGATTCGAAGGGAACCTCCACAAAAGCAGGGCCAGGATTCAAAGGGCACATCTACACAGCAGGGCTAAAGCTGAAATAAGTTACACAACTTGAGCTATGTCAATTGCATCACGTAAATCAAAATAGCTTATTTCAGCTTTTAGTGCTGTCTACACAGCAGGAAGTCTGAGGAAGAGCACTCTTCCTGCGACTTCCCTTACTCCTCGTAAAAATGAAGGTTACAGGAGTTGGAGTTAGGGATGTAAGCAAATGGGGGAAGCAGAAACCAGTGCTGGGGGGAGCCAGCTTAAAAGCCGGTTCCCCCCAGTACCACCTCTGCAGAGGGGGAGATAGGGGCAAGGGAAGCAGAGGGGCAGAGGGGATCTGTCAAAATAACTGTTTGTAGTGTAGATGCGGAGTATGTTATTTCAGAATAACGTCAGATATTCCAAAATAACACTGCTGTGTAGACGTACTCTAAGGGATACCAAGCATTCTCCTTGGCTGGCTGGTTCTTGCTCACATGTTCAAGGTCTAACTGATCACCCATACATGGGGTCAAGAAAGACTTTTTTCCTCTGGTCAGATTGGCAGTGACCTTGGTTTTTTGTCTTCCCTTGCAGTACATAGGTAGGGTCATATGGCAGGATTTTCTGTGTATATTTCACATAATCATTTATCTGACTTTGTGGAGGTTCTGGGCACTAGTGCACAGTAAACTCTCCTTGATGCCTCTGGCACAAAATAACCTAGTCTCTTCTTGGCTGTAATATTTCTGTGCAATGTTGGCTGTTGTGTTTAGGTTTTGGTTGCCTGTGAATATGATATACAGAAGGTCAGACTAGATGACAATATGTTCCCATCTGGCCCTAAACTCTGACTCTATGAGAAGATAGCAGGCCAAATTGAATGACCCACACCAACTTTTGTGACTATCTGATTGCCTGGCTATTATAGGGTCTGTTTTTGAAAGGCCAGAGAGGGTAGTAAATTGGGTGTTACAAACAGGGAAACTTACAATTCTCACAATCAAAGCTATGGAGTTTCAAATGTAATAGAGACAGAACCATTTATTACTTCTAGTTCAACAAGGAAACTCTGAAAAGATTAAGTGGGACCTTTATCATATTTGGTGTACATTGATAGTCCCATCTGTTTTGTAGCTTTTCTTCCAGTCAAGTTATGGCACCACCTTGCCCAAGCCCATAAAATAGGATATCAGTTAGGTATAATCCTTTTTAATAACAACTTTGGCAAACTGAGAGGAGAGAATTTGACTGCATCAGACCCAGTCCTAGACGCATTAGCTCCATTATATATAGTGAATTGGAATATTCAACATATATTTAAAGTGACTTTTTTGCCATCACACAAACATGCATCCACTTTATTAAGGGTATGTCTACACTACCACCCTAGTTCAAACTAGGGTGGTAATGTAGGCAACCGGAGTTGCAAATGAAGCCCGGGATTTGAATTTGCATAAAGCCGGGCGCCGCCATTTTTATATGTCCGCTAGTGCAGACTCCGTGCCGCGCGGCTACATGCGGCACGGACAAGTAGTTCGGACTAGGCTTCCTCGTTTCACGAGGAGTAATGGTAGTTCGGAGTAGAAAGCCTAGTCCGAACTACCTAGTCCGTGACGCATGGCTACATGTGGCACGGAGTCCGCACTAGCGGACATTTAAAAATGGCGGCGCCCGGCTTTATGCAATGAAGCCCGGGAAATTCAAATCCCAGGCTTCATTTACAACTCCGGTTGCCTACATTACCACCCTAGTTCAAACTAGGGTGGTAATGTAGACATACCCTAAGAGACGTAGACTTATGGATCACAACTTCCTTATATGGTATGAAGTATCAGAGGGGTAGCCGTGTTAGTCTGAATCTGCAAAAGTGGCAAGGAGTCCTGTGGCACCTTATAGACTAACCAAAGTGTTGGAGCATAAGCTTTCATGGGCAAAGACCCACTTCATCAGATGCATGTAGTGACATTAGGCTCAGAAGGCGCATGTAGACCCTGGCCATGATTACTGGGAATGTTTGCATGTCCTGGACTGCCAACCTGATTACCAGGAAGTGGGATCTGGGGAGGGAGGCCTTGGCCGCTGTCAAGTCCAGACTGGCGCCCACAAACTCTATTATTGGGGTAGGCACCAGAGTCTATTTGGGCACATTCAGAAGCAGACCCATCTCCTGAAAGAGTTCCTGAGTCATGGTGATGTGGGCCCATGCCTGGTCGGCAGAGTGCCCCCGTAGAAGCCAGTCGTTGAGGTATGGGAACACCTGGAAACCTTGCTTTCTGAGAGCAGTGGTGATGGCCATGTACTTCGTAAAGACCCGGGGGGCAGTGGAGAGCCCAAAGGGGAGGGCCGTAAACTGATAGTAGTCACTGCACATTGTAAAATGGAGGAACCGATAGTGGTGGGGCACAATAGAAATATGAAATTACATGTCTTTTAGATTAAGGAAGGAATGATGGATGCTGAGTCACCATCTTGAATTTCTTCTTGACGATGAAGGCATTGAGGTCTCAGAGATCCAAGATGGGACAGAACCCACCCTTAGCTTTGGGGACCAGGAAATACTGGGAATAGAAGCCCCTGCCCAACATTCTCAGGGGAACCACCTCTGCGGGCCCCAGGGTGAGGAGCTGAAGCACCTCCTCCCTCAGGAGAAGCTCGTGTCCCTGAAGAGGGACAGGTCAGGAGAATGTGAGAGAACAGAAGGGGATGATATACTCCCTTCCCACCGTTATCTAGGATCCAACGGTCTGAGGTAATAGATTCCCAGGCCCGTTGGAAAGGGAATAGATGGTCCTGGAAGAGAGGGGTGAGGCTGGTATGTTGTCCTCGGGTGTACTCTCAAAACTCTTCGCGAGATCCCGAGGATTTGCTGAGTGGACCCTGACTCTGGTCCTGGGTTGGCCGGAAATGGTCTGCCTGAGAAGGAGTGCTGCTGGGTAGCCGGGGTGTGAATACCAAAGGACTTTAGGGTGGCCCAGGTATCTTTGGGGCCGTGCAAACGTTGGTCCATTTACTCAGAGAATAAGGAGGGACCCTCAAAGGGTAGATCCTGTATGGTGTTCTGTAGTTCAGGGGGCACCCTGGACCGCTGCAACCAGAAACTGCGGTGCATAACCAGCCCCATAGTCATGGCACATGCAGCCATGTCAGTCGCATCAAGGGCGGCCTGGAGCACGGCTCTAGAGATCGCCTGCCTTCTTTTGAGAGGCTCTAAATTCAGGCCGAGTCTCCTTGGGGAGTAGCTCAGTGAACTTATCCATAGAGGCCCAGGTGTTATAGGCATAGCAAGACAGCAAAACCTGATGGTTCGCTATGCGAAATTGTAGGCCTCCAGCCTAATGCATAGGTCTTCCTGCCCAACAAGTCTATTTTCTTGGCATCCCTATTTTTGGGGGTAGTGCCCGGTTGACCCCACCTCTCCCTTTGGTTCACCGCCTGGATAACAAGGGACTCAGGAGGCAGCTGGGAGAAGAGGTATTTGTTCCCCTCCTGGAACACGAAGTATCGACGCTCAGCCCTCTTGTCCATTGGTGGGAATGGAGGCTGGGGTTTGCCAGAGGGACTTAGATATTTTGGCCACCATTTTGTTAATGGGGAGGGCCACTCTGGTAGGGATATCCAACTGTAAGATGTCAATAGTCGGGTTGGAGTCCTCCGACACCCTTTCAGCCTGGACTGGTCTAGGCCAGGCATCGAACGAGGGTGCCCTCGAGTCCATGGAAGAGAGAGTCACTCATAGCCTCGTCAGGGGAGAAAGATGAGGACCCCTTTTATCCCATCGATACAGGGGCTTCGGTCTGAGAGAGGACCTGAGAGGCTGCCAGTGAGAGCCCCGTGGGGGCTGGACCACCTGGTCCTCAGGCTCTGAGGGCCTTGGGGAGTGACTGCCCCAACGTGGGTGACCGGGTCATTAGGGTTACCGAAGGGGACGCCCTGGACCCAGAGAGAACCGACTCCAGTCTAGAGGGGCCCATGCCCTGGCGGTAGGCCCATGGAGTCCAAAACAGCCACTGAGATGGGCCTGGAGCCTGTGTGGGCCAGGACTGCTTCATCACTGGTACCGGGATTGGCTGTGCCCATTGATACTATTGCTGGTGAGCGGAGGTACTCCAGTGCCGTGATTGGTGGGAGTGGGACCAGTGCTGGGACCTGGACCTGGACGACCAGGAGGACTCTGCTTCTAAGTTGGCTGAATACTCTGACGCTGACCATGGCGGGGCAGAGGCAGATGCAGTTAGTGACCTGCATGACGGGGCATCCCGAGCCATCAACTTCGGCTTACCCTGGTGCTGGCAGGGAGGAAGAGGAGACATGGCCAGGCCTGGGCAGCAGTCAAGACCTTTGCCCTGGTGCTGAGGCACTGGCCGGGGCCAAGCTCACTGTTGGTGCCGGCCCTGAAGGTGGTGCTGCACTTGGGCCTGGAGAGGCATGGGAGATGACTATTGTGGAGAGGTGCTTCTTAGGCTTCGGTGCCAAAGTGCTTGATGCTCCAACCGGTGCCACCTGAGGTCCCAATCCTTTCCCGAGGTCGGTGCCAAGGTAGGAGATGGGGACAGCTCAATCAGAACCCTGGCTGCCTCGAAAGCCTCCAGGGTCATGGGCTCCAGGAAGTCCCTCATCAGGCTGGCATCCCAGTACGGACTTGGATGCTTGCCCTGATGGTGCCACGTGCCCCACTTGAGGGACCATGGAGGGCACGCACCATGGTGGCAACCTACCCCTGCTAGACCTCCTCTTCTTCTGAGTCACTGGGGACTGGGAATGGTGTCGAGGTCCGTGCGGTGCCGCAGAGGCACGCAAGTGGCCTGATGCCTCCTGCACCAAGGCTGGGGTGCTCTGCATTGCTGGTGCCAGGTCCAACACTGATGCTGGTCATAAAGCTGCCTCCATTAGAATGATTTTCAGGCACGACTCTCTCCCACTTCATCCATGATTTAAACACCTTTCAAATTCTACAGGCCTTGGACAAGTGAGCCTCTCTCAAACACTTAAGGCAAGCAGAGTACGGGTCACCGTAGGACATAGGCCTCTGGCACTTTTCATAGGTTTGAAGCTCTGAGGGCCGGGCATGCCCCACTGCATGCCCCGGGAGCATGGAGCAAGGACTGCGGTGGGTCCTTATCATTAGAAAACAGTACTTAACAACTATTTAGAGAACTGATAAGAAACATAACTGTTGAAACTAGAACAAAGAACTTTAGAAGCGAGTGACTGCTAACGGGTGCTTGCTAGCAAGCACAGGAGCGTGTTCTAATGACCATCCTGGACTGTAAGAAGGAAGTGAGAGGGTGGAAGGTTAGCAGGGGTATATAGTGGCCGGTATACTGGCGCCATTCCAGGGGGCTTCCCTGCTGGCTCAACGGGGTACTGCTATGGGAAAAATCTCAGACAATGCGAGCATGCTGCGTGCCCACACCTACATGGAATGGGCATGAACAATCACTCAAAGAAGAAGTTATTTGATTTTTAATACTCCTTAATGCCAAGTCTTTGAAGACCCACCAAGGTTGACTGGCAGCTTACTGTGGGCCCTAGGAGCAAGAAAATGATTGCAGTACCACAGCTAAGCAGGTTTCCAAGAGGTGAGAGACCTACATTACAACAGGACAAGTAATAATGGGCTTAATCTGCAAAAAAAGAAAGATTTCGGTTAGATATTAGGAAAAACAAAATTTTTCATTCTGGAGAAAAAGTTTATTTTACCACTGCTTTTTATATAGAGAATAAAACAGAACTAGGCAGAGAGATAAATAACCAAACCATATAATGACTTACATTTTAACTGTTTCAGATAGATCTTCCTTTTCTTAGACTATTCAGATCAATCTCTCCAAATACATATTCAATGCTCTTCAGTGCATGTTCCTTATTAGATGAGCCATGAACTGCATTTCGCAAAATATCTTCTGCAAATTGAGCTCTAATTGAATCAGGAGAAGACTCTTTTGCTATGTCTGGATCTGCTGGACCCATTAATTGCCTCCATTCCTCCACAGCATTTTCTTTAGTTAGGATCATTACCATTGATGGACCCCTGCAGAATCAAGATATACAAATATCACATGCATTACTACAGCTTTGCAGCCATAGAACATAGTGCAAGAGTGAACTTTATATTGAGTAGTTAGCAAAAGTTAACTCCTAGGGGAAATGTGTTCCTTATTTATTGTAGGAAACAAGTATGTCTGACATTAGAGATGATGAAAATTAGTTCTGGGGGTGACATTTCCCTCATATACCCCTGTGGGTCTGCATTTGAAAGGCCACCAGGAGAAATGTATGGTGAGGTGAAAAACTGGTGATGCAGAAAGAGTGAAGATGGGAAAGTGATCTACTAGAGGAGGTACATAGTTAAAACTAGAAGATTTACCCAGAGTTGTTTTGTTTTCTTTCATTTAAATCATTGTTCTGAGATAGGGCTGGGGATGCAGGGTGTACTTGGGATAGAGGGCAATCCCAGCCCTCTCTCACTGCAGAAGCTGGAACCCAGTGAGAAGAGTCTGTCCAAGGCCACTGCAGCTGGTACAGCCAGGGGAGGAGTGCATGTCCCCTGGCTGGGGGACAGACAGACACACAAACAAACTCTGTCAAATATATAGTAGATAGCTGTCCCTTTCTCCATCCCTGCCCCATGTGTCCCAATGGGGTTTTAGCTGTCCCGGGCCCCATCTCTGGCGCCTTGTTTTCCCCTGTACTCATTATACAGTATAACTGTCCCTGCTAGCAGACCTCTCCTTTTCCATTTTATGAGAAAGAATCGCATTCCAGACACATCCTATTGTTCTGGCACAACCAAACCCTGACCTTGCTTTAATTTAGGATAAGAGGAAGCTGCATACCAAATTTGGTGGTCCCAGCTCTTACTGTTTAGGAAGTCTTGAACAAATGGACCTACAGATGGATGGAGAGACAGACAGATGCACCTTTCTAAAATACTTACCTTGCATTGCCTGGGTCCAGTATGGGACTGAAGGGGGAGTGGCTTGGCCTAGGGATGGAAAGGCTCAATCTGGGGATGGCTAGGCAGGCCTCCCACCGGTGCTTCCCAGGCCCAGCGGTGCTGGGAATAGCAGGCTATGGCTTCTGCAGCATGGGCTGAGGCTCTACTACCCGGTTCCAGTGGTGCTCCAGGGAGAAGGCACAGTAGTGTGGCAAGTGGAGCTTCCCGCCACCCCAGTCTGGCACTGAGGCCGAAGTGGGAGGAGCTTAGGGTATGGAGACCACTTACTTGCGTCTGGGGCAGGCAAAATAGTTATCCGCATCCCAGTGGGCCTCTCCCTGGGTAGTGTGGCTGCCCCCCAGAGGTCACTCTGCAGTATACAGCTGTCTCCTACATTTGCTGCCCTCAGTGATGACTGTGAACATATCGTCTCTCCAATCACCCTCCTCCTTTTCCATATTATGGAAAACAATCGAATTCCAAAACAATCAAAATCCCATTTTCTTGGCACAACCAAACCCTGATCTTTCTTTAAGTTAGGATAAGAGGAAGCTGCATACCAAATTTGGTGGTCCTACTTCTTAACGTTTAGGAGGAGATCTTGAGCAAATGGACTCACAGACAGACAAATGCGCAAATCTCTAAAATATAGATATAGATGAAATTTGGATTCCTAATACCCTTTGAACAAAAAAACCCTCATTTATTGTGGAAAACAGTGGCCTTAATTCATTAGCTAACGCATTCAGTGGTTAGATGGTTAACCTATTTTCCCATTCTTTGTCCTTTGCTTGGCTCTCTTTTTTTGAGGAAAAGATCCAAAAGGTGGTCATAACTGGGCTTGGTGGAATTCATAGCTGCTGTAAGTGAAACCCACTGCCTAATAAAGGCAAAAGACTATATTCAAAAAAGTAATAAATGTTTAAATTCTTTTTATACAAATTCTAAAAATGCCCTACATTTGACACAAAAAATGACAAAGAAGGGCAGAATTCCAAGAATTTTCCTATGTTCAACAAAAATGTTTTGCCTGCTCTATAAAGGCAAAGTTATAAATGCTATATTTACATAGCACAATATAGTAAAATCAGGCACTTACTCAGACATATAATTCACTAACTGGTCAAAAAAGGGTTTTCCTTCATGATCTTTATAAAACTGTGTTGCCATTTCATGAGTGAAATTTGTTTCCTTCATCTGAGATACAATAAATCCAGCATTTGCAACCTTCCGCATAATGTCATCTAGGAGAATAAAAATACATTGGTCCTAATTTTTAAAATTATTTTAAATACACGTAGAAATTATAGTCTTGAAAAATCGCAGAAATTGATAATTTATTTTCTGGAAAATTCATGAAATTATAACAATTAACTTGCTATGTATAATAGGGAGCAATCAGGAGAGAACTCTTGAAGAGATCAAGACTCCTTAAAAACATATGATAAGTCATTATCAATCATTTACTAATACAGTTCCATAAAGGTGACATAAAATACGAATCACTATTAAAAATAACAAAAAATCATCCTATTGTTTCTCATTGGACAGTTGGAATATGACATCACATACCAACTGGATTTGCAAGATCAAACTGCATAGTTCTAAGATGGGAAAAAAGAGATTCATAAAAATGAATGGGGGCATATAAAAATCAAAATAATCACAACAGCTGTTATTATAAAACAGAGAATATATCTTATATTGGGGGTCTGGACGAACAGGTACAATTCCTAAGCTTGCTACTGCCAGACTCAACTCCATTTTTTCAATTATGACTATAGGGAGTTTTATCCTTCCTTTTTAATGTCTTCCTCTTTCTCTCTGTATGTCTCATAGTAAGAGATTCATCACCACCTCCAAGTCCTGTGAGAGGAAAGAACCACAGGCAATTTTGGCTAATGAAATTTTAGTAGCGAGGCAGAATCAAGAATTACTTCATTTCCATAAGGTTTTTAATAGGTATGTGGTGAACAAGTAGCTGGTTAAACAGTTTCCCAGTAAGTATCACCTTTATTGGGTGCTGTTTACCAGGTAATGGTTAACCATAACCCAGGAGCAGCCCTCAGGGAGTTCGGGATACAGAGGGTGGGTGAAGCGGCAAAAGAGGGTAGGAGGGCTGCCAGCTCCCAGCCTGTGAGCCCATGCAACTGCCCAACTCTGCCCACAACCATTTAATCAGTTCACTGGTCAAACTTCACGTTTAATCAGTTAACTAAATGAATGGAATTTTACATCCTTTGTTTTTAAACATAGCAAATGCATTTAGGAAAGACAAAAATAATTCATCTGATATAATTTATTTGAAAACTGTACATTGGTACTATTTTGTAGGAATGAGGTCTTCAGTTATTTTGGAATGAGATCCCCAGGCCTGGTATGCATGTTCTAGAATATTTACCTTTATGTTCCATAACCGCGGTGGGTTTGATAACTGCCAAAGTATGTTCCACGGGGAAGAAGAATTCTAGTTCCTTCTCAGCTTCACCAGGTGAAATGCTGCCATGCAGTTGATTGAGAGGTACATTATCTACTGCGTACTCTGAACGTAAACTAACAATTATTAAAACAAGAAGTTAATGAAGTGACATTTTCATGCTTAAGTATTAGAATCTTTATTCCTATGAATCTCCTAACTTAATGATAATTCTGAGGGTTGAGCTGCTAGTGGACACTGGAGACACAAAGTATACTTTGTGAATATATTTTAGAAATGTGCATCTGTCTGACTCTCCATCCGTCTGAGAGTCCATTTGTTGAAGACCTCCTAAACTTTGTGAAATTAATCAATATATTCTAAACTATCATTTTGGCTTTTAGTGGGATTTGTGAACCTAAGTCACTTAAGTGCTCTTGAAAATTTCCATTCTTGTCTGCTGCCACCAGTGAATGTTCAACTACTTCAGAATATTACTTTGTCCTGTTTACCTATGTGATACTATAATGATATGTCTATATCATGTGCTAGCAATATGATTTACTGCTCATGTATACATAGTTGGGCTAGTTCTCATCACGCTAGCACAAATATAAATAGCAGCAGAACAGGGTACAAATAGCATCATATCATGGTCAGCACAGCAGAAACATGGCTGAGCCATGCCAAGTACAAACACTCCTGAAACTGGTGGGTATGTAATTGGTACAGCTCACTTGTGCCTCTGCTGCTGTTAGCCACACTCTCACAGCTACAGTGCTATTTATACTTGTACTAGCTTGAAGAGAACTAGTGTAAATAAGTGTACACAAGCAGGGACTCACACTCTTAGCTTGTAGCACAGATGTAACCCAAGACACTGAACTTGGAAGATTAACAGCAGTTTTACCTACTTTTAGCTATAAATAATCTTTCCTACAATTTTTAAACTACTAACTAATTCCCATTATGACCACTAATAATAAGTCTTACTAAATGATAAATATTACCACTCATACAGATGACAGACACTGATGAATGTTGTAATACCACAACAGCTACTTAATACATTACAAACACTGTGGCCAGGTCTACACTAAAAAGAAACATCGAATCAAGATATGCAATTCCAGATATGTTAATTATGTAGGTGGAGTCAATGTACCTTGTTTTAAGTTTCCCCGCCATCCCCTCAGTGGGAGGCCAACAAGAGCAAACACTCTCACCTGCTTCCCTTACTCTTGGCAGAAGCAGGAGTACAGGCTGCTGGCAGGGGGCCCCTCTGAGTTCAATTTAACGAGTCTTAACTAGACTCATTAAATCAAACTTTGGAAGATCAATTGCAGCAGCGTCGATCTTCTGTTTAGTGAAGACATGGTCTAAGTACCTGACATAATTAGACACATTAGTTAAAAGAAATTAGTATATCTGAAAAAGAAATTGAGCTATAAATAAAAGAATATACTCCCACAAAGGCACCTGAATTCCATTTAGCTAAGCTATAGGACATGTTTCAAAGAGAAAAATAAGAAAACAATTTGAAGCAGATACATCACTGCAACCAGTCGGACATGACTCCCATCCCTCATCTTCACTGGTGTCTAGCTGACAAGACATACTCCTCTGCTTTCCCCTTCTTCCCGGACCTTGGTTTTCTTAGTTATAATTTGTTAAGCTTTTTACCATGTCTTTGGTATGTTATCTGTAGTTTTTTGTATCCAAGGCCATGAGGCCCCATTTTACTTAGAAACCATATTGCTTATGAATATGTATGTAACCTGTGGAATGTGTGTGAGGTGTGAATGAGAAATACCCAATTAAAAGGGCAGTTTAGGATCTGTGACCTTTTAAGGCAGACAAAGACCCTGCAAGCAGATAAATTAACTGAGAAGTAGCCAGACTCTCTCTTGCCTCTCTCTTGGACAAAATGTAACATCACAGCAGAAACCTGGGACCACCCAGAAGGACCTCTCAAAGAACATCATGGTTGAGTCTCCAGTAAGCTGACGTCTGGCCAGCACTCCTGCCACCATCGAAATCAGAAGTAATCTATACTGCACTTGCAGCCTGCCTCCAAACTGCCAGCATGAATGTGATGTGTGTGTGTGAATATCACTTTACTCTTAAAAATCTGTGCCAATAAACAACCCCAGAAGCAATACTGCTCCAGCTCACCCTTTGTCCATGTTTGTTCCTCAGAAGGTCTGAGGAAGTGCAACAATCATCAGCAAGAGTAATATATAATTGATAGTTCACTAGCAGAAAACAGATTAGCTGTCAACTGTGTACATCACATAAATAAATCAAACTGATCATAGTTCAAGAGATCTCTCTTCTTTTCAAAATCTTACAATATTCTTTTTTAATTTTAACTTTCATCTTTGTTTACTAGCCATGTGTTTTTGATGTTATGCGCAGTACACTATATAATCAAAAACACCCTAAAATCTTTCTGATGCATATATCACTCATAAATTAGAAGTAAATTATGGATGTAAATTATGGATGTGAATTTTAGATTATGAATTATAGCTATTGTAAATACTACCTGTTTGGACTCTTCTCCTTAGCCTCTTCAAGAGTCTTTGGGCCTAGTAAATCTCGCCAGTGTTGTACAGCATTTTCTCGTATTAAAGCGAGTGCAAGAGTTGGACCACTGTTAAATGAAATGATTAGTGTTAAAAAAGCATTAAAGGAACCCCCAAAATATCTGTTTAAAGAATTTGATTAAATTAAGAGTAGCCAGGGAAAAGGTGCTTTCATATTGGAAAGATTTAAAATCCAATACACATTTAAATAACTGAAGTTCCAGTGATTTTTTGTATTTTTGGGCAGTGTTGGAGAGCAATGGATGAAGGTAATTTAAATGAACAAGGCTACTCAACAGTGCCATTGCAAGGAATATCATAGATTTCTACATCAAAGGTGAAATCTTGGCCTCACTTAAGTCTATTGGAAGTTTTGCCATTGAATTCAATGGAGCCAGGATTTTCCCTTAGATCACCAGTCCAGGACCACAGAGAATATGGTGAGGATGTCAGCAAGAAATGTCACGGACACACTCTTTGAAAACTGGAATTGCTTTTGCTTGAAAAAACTGTTGTTACTCTGCATGAAAGAAAATGTCTACACTGTAATGATAGTCACACTTACTTAACATATTCTGTTGACATCAGAGGAGGATGAGTGATATTTGTCAGATGTTTGGGGAAAAATAAAAGTGAATAAAAGAGGGTTAATGTGATGAATTGCAAAAATCAATGTTTGTATATGCTCTTGATAATTTTTTTTTGATTTTTCAAATACTGCTTTTGCCACAACTTACTTTCTTGAGATCTAATTATTCCCCAGATTTAGTAACATTCAGTATGTAATTATTCTTAAAATTTGGAGCTAGTTAGCAAACATAGGTGTGGTCATTCCTTGAGGGAATTCTATCACAAAGTGGCCAACTTCTGGATAGCATGTCTATCTGATATGCCTGTGAATGTTCTTATTATCCATAAAACTCATTTCATTTATACTGAACTCCAGGACTTAACTGTATCTTATGGCAATGAGTTACACAGATTAATTATGTATTGTGAAAAATATTGCTTTCATTTGTAAGTTCAAACTCATTGCCTTTCAATTAATGTACCTTGTCATATGTTCTAGAAGAGTTGGGAAAAAATCTTCATTTTCATGCTCCTTGTAAAATTGACGTGCTTGTTCTTCTGTCAGAACTATTTCTCTTTGCATTGCTATTGTAAAGCCATCATCCTTAATCCTTTTCAGAATAGAATCTACATATAAAACATTGAAATAGTGCTGCACTGTCATAATTTAGTTCATTTTATACTTGTTATATTTTCATATTATAGTTTTTCCAGTCATATCATCTTAAAGTTTTCCAAAAAGTTTTCCAAAAACTCAGGGATGGGCAATAAGGGTATGTCTAGACTACGTGGCTCCGTCGACAGAGCCATGTAGTCTAGATATACCCTAAGTGACCAAGATGCAGTTTGCCGTGGTTAGTTCCTGGTGGGCTGCTGGATGCTTTATTTACCTATGCATTCATAGGTATGGCCGCTTACAGCTCCCATTGGCTTCTATTTGCCATTCCCGCCCAGTGGGAGGTGCAGGAGGTGTTGGCCTGGTCCATAGCATGTCCCACAGCTCCCATTGGCTGGGAATAATAAGCCGTGACCAACAGGAGCTGCAAGTAACTGTGCCTGCAGACGTGTAGGTAAATAACATCTCCAATCACCTGCCAGGTGCTAACCCTGGTGAACCGCACCTGGCCCACTGGTTGCTTATTGCCCACTCCTGGGTTAACTTGTTCATTTTGGAATATAAAAAATATAATTCATAACAACTGCTACAGAGATCAAATAATCATTGCCTTTTTTGCCTTTTTAAAATCATTTTGAACAAAAGAAGGAATGTCAGAGAAGTCACATTTACTTTGATTTAGCTTTCTGTTTTTGCAGGTTCTGAAAGTGTCACTGGGTAATCTAAGGGAAAGGTAGGCTGCTTATGAATATATAGCATACAATTACTTTCTTAAAAACCCTTTTACACACACACCCTATTAATAGCAAAGTCTAACCAATCCAATTCATTATGATGAGTCCAAAGTAATGAGTTTGAAGAATGTTGATTTTGGTGCCTAAAAAGATTGACTGTTGGTGCTAACTAGCTGTTTTTTATTTAAAGCAAAGGATAACATTTTGAATCCTGGATTTCTCCGTTATAATTGATTTTCATTTGTTGTTTGTTTTTTATGTAATCTACAGATATTTTGATGATTGCCAGAGATGGTAGGGCACAGTGCAACTCAAAGTATGCCTGATAACACTATTCTGGGTCAGTACAATTGTTTTCACTGCTACGATATCAAAAGTCATGCTTTTCTGAGACATACTCAAAAATAATCAAAATATGTTGGGAGAAAATGGATTGCAACTGTGGCTCTGGCAAGTCAATAAACATCAGGAACTTATAAATGCTGTCAAAAAACCATTTTTTCTATTCAAGGAATGTGCATGCATATTCTCAAACTGAAATATTAATGAGCATTATCGCTCCCCCTTAGGAGGGTCCGGAAGTTCTAACAGAAGGCATAATTACAACTGAATTCTGTGACTTCTTGCAACTAAGCACTATCTGACATGAACAAAGGTGACAGGATCAGACCCTTTGTAAGGACTGCAGAACTGCTCTCCTGTTTGCATGAGAACTAAATGTCAAAATCACGAAAGTAATTCCATTTAAATGTAAGAAGAATGCTGCTAGTAGTAGTCTTTCAAATCTATGTAACAGACATTATTTAAACTAGCCAAAGAAGTGATCTGGCAGAGAATACTCAACCATTCAAGGACAGTGATACAAGCTAAACTGTTTGAACAGAATGTACAACCCATTTAAATATATTTTCAATGCAGTTAGACTCTCTTACTAATTTTTCTACAATCTGAAAAGGGATCTATAGATGCAATTTTTGACAAACTGACCTAGGATAAAAAATGATATCCACACAAAAGTATGAAAAGGCTGAACAGAACGAACATGTATTTTTTAAATGCACTTCTGTCAACATAAAGCTGAGTGCAGAAAATAATTTGAAGATAGCATGATCTAATGTGCAGAACACTGGACTGGAGAACTGGATTCTGTTTCTGGCTCTGTTACTTGCCTGCTAGGTGACTTGGGACAAATCATTTCACTTCTATGTTCCTCTGTCAGTTGGGGATAATGACGTTGACCTACTTTGCTAAGCACGCTGACATTTATTGGAGAAAAGTGATAGATAAAAAGTAGGTATTATTTATTAAAAGAACTAGAATTTTTGGAAATCCAAAATAAAAGACCTTCTTGTGTACAGCAGATGAAAAACTAGTTATCATCACTTACTTCTTCTTTTCTTTAGTAGAGAAGGTCTAATTAAGGCCAATGTTTTTTCAACATTCTGGCCAGTCCTCTTTTTGCCAAAATCTGGAAAAAAGAAGGCAAGCTGCCTGCTAGCCTCTTCTATACTGTCTTCCACATCACATAAATTTAACATATTCTCGGATTCCAAAACTTCTTGCAAGCTAATCAGAGACAAAAATAACTCTAAATTAATGTATCTTTTATATTCATTTACTAATTGATATAAATGTATCAATAATTGACTTGCTGAAAAAATATATATTTAGTACTCTAATAAAACATGTGAGAATAGAAGTTACTTTGATTATGATTCTGGATTCCAGCAGTTCTGCGGAATGAAGATATTATCCATTCCTAAGAGAGTATTAGTTAATTGCTATGTTATACCATAATAACTATGAAAAAGAAATCTTGGTCATGCAATGTTTCTATTTGTTTGCCTTTGAATAGCATCTGTGCTACTCAAAATTAATGGACACTAGCAGTTTATAAAGAATGATTGATAAGAGGATCATGCTTTATGCATCTAAAGCAAGAGCTCTAAAAATAAATAATTTTTATTGTGACGTGTTTATAATTGTGAGGATCACTCAGTTACCTATATATGATCACTCCAATATCATTTCACACAAAATTTATCCAGGAAAGGCTACTGCAGATGTAAATAAAAAGACAAAGGATAATGACTAAAAGAGTTTGTTAATACTATCTTTATATTCATGTCAGTACAGGGTCATGTAATAAGACTGATTTGGATCAGTGCAGTTACATATATTTAGACTGCAATAAGACTTCACAGACTGCAACATCCTTTAATGTGCCTAGCCCACACTGCAAGCCAGTTTGTTTGGGAGGTGCAGATCTATGGCCCTTTATTGTTCTCTTCCTCAAGAATGCACTGATGGGATAGTTCCTGCACTTCTGCAAGTGCTTGGACTGCTGTTGTGATGGTTGGCTGTGTGGGCTACACATGGTTAGAGAGACTCTTGCTTAATCCCTGCATCTGCACAGCTATGCATCTAAAGGCATGTGACAATCAGCTTTTTTTTTCATTATTTCTCATGTAACTCCATAAAACATAAGTGTCATTTGAATTTTTCCAGTTACCTTACTGGCTTTTCAGGCTGAGGCGCTGCAGATATAGACTCATCTGATTTATCTAGTTCTTTCCATTGAGGAACAGCACCAGTTACCTCCTTTGGTTTAGAAATTACCAGAATATGGGATGGTCCACCAGTCATGAATGTAACAAAATCTTCAAAATCAGGCTAAAAAACACAATTTTTCATTTATACACTACAAAAAGATTTGTTTGACCTTATCACCAGAATTGAAACTATATGGCTACATCTACACTGGCATGATTTTCTGAAAATGCTTTTAACGGAAAACTTTTCCATTAAAAGCATTTTTGGAAAAGCACGTCTAGATTGGCAGGATGCTTTTCCGCAAAAGCACTTTTTGCGGAAAAGCGTCCATGGCCAATCTAGACACGGTTTTCCGCAAAAAAGCCCCGATTGCCATTTTCGCGATCGGGGTTTTTTTGCGGAAAACAGTACTGTGCTGTCTACACTGGCCCTTTTGTGCAAAAGTCTTTAGGAAAAATACTTTTGCCCAAACAGGAGCAGCACAGAATTTCCGGAAAAGCACTGACGATCTTACATGAGATCGTCAGTGCTTTTCCGGAAATTCAAGTGGCCAGTGGAGACAGCTGGCAAGTTTTTCCGGAAAAGCGGATGATTTTCTGGAAAAACTGGCCAGTCTAGAGTCACAGCCTACATGTGGGCTACGTCTAGACTGGAATGATTTTCCGCAAATGCTTTTAACAGAAAAGTTTTCTGTTAAAAGCATTTGCGGAAAATCATTCCAGTCTAGACGTAGCCCACATGTAGGCTGTGACTCTAGACTGGCCAGTTTTTCCAGAAAATCATCCGCTTTTCCGGAAAAACTTGCCAGCTGTCTCCACTGGCCACTTGAATTTCCGGAAAAGCACTGACGATCTTACATGAGATCGTCAGTGTTCTGGCGGAAATTCAAGCGGCCAGTGTAGACAGTCTAGACACAGCCGTGCTGTATAACGTGCTCCCATCCCACTGTTGTATTTACAATCACCATATAAAATGATATGAAATGTAGTATAATAGCTTGTGATAAATCCAAATTAGTTCAGGTGAGAGAACAGTATAAAATATGTCCCAACCTTTAGTGTAAATAAAATATCTGAAGATCATTGAAATTATAGTACTACATACAACCTGGGTATCAAATGTTCTTCCAACTTAATGTACTAACAACTCATATATGAGATCAAATGTAATGTGTGCAGCATATTTGACCAAGGCACATGATGTAAAGCAGTAGTAGGGAACCTATGGATCATGGGCCGAATCTGACCTGCATCACAATTTAATCTGGCCCACAGTGGGGCGCAGCAGCCATATAGCACCTCTTCCTGCAGCACACAGCTGGGCACTAATTTCAGCTCCTTTTCTTGAATGTATATGAGCAAGCAAATGAAGGTGGGGTGGTCAGAGTAAAGAACCACACCGGGTGGCTGGGCAGCAGCAGGGCAAAACACCAGGCAGCAGTGTGGCAAACCACTGAACCACTTCCTGCAACACCAGCTCCAACTACCGCTGTCCCCTCCTCCTGCATGCAGGTGAGGAGACGCATGCAGCGAGTAGGGTGGCTGGAGTGCAGAGGAATGCTGGGAGGCTGGGCGGTAAACCTCCAAGTCATTTCCCTGCCTGGGATGGCCAAAGTGGGGAGGAATGCTGGGCATCAGGGGAACAAGTCCTGAGTGTCTTCCCTGCTTGGGGCAGCCAGAGCGGAGAGACAGCAGGGCAAGCCCACTAGCTGCTCTTGCAGCCAGTAGCCCCAGCCGGACACTACTGCTTTTTCCTTCTTCTGTACACATTTTTAGTACATGCTGGCTGTCCTCACTGAAAAAGTGTTGATGGTGTAGGTGGCTGTTTGAAGATAAAAAGAGTTTCGACCCATTTCAAGTAAAAAATGGCTTCTGCACGCAAAAGAAGAAAACAGTGTTGTGTTTTTAATGAAAAATAGACAAATGACTGCTTTTGTGGAAGTGAAATGCAAGCCTGATTCCCTGATTTGTGGAGAAGTGATTTCTGTCATGAAAAAATACCCTAGAAAGACACTCAATTCTGGGGGAATTCTGTAATTTGACTATGGCTCCAAATGCAACAATTGAAGAATTTCCCCAGGAATAGACACTACAACTAAAGCACACCACGGGCAGTTGCATGTGGACAAAATTAAAGAAAGTAAAAAGATTTTGAATACGAAACAAACAATTTCATAAAAACACAAAAGGAGATTAACAGTGTTATGCAAGCTGGTTATGTGGTGAGTGAACTTACTGCAAACAGAATTTGGCTTTATTCAGAAGAAGAGTTTGTAAAGGAGTGTGTTGTTGCAACTGGAGCTTTAGTGGCATGGGAGAAACAAATTATTTGAGAGTATGAATTTGTATTGCAGGACGGAGTCAGATCAAATTAAGGATATGGCTCAGGACATTGAAATGTCTTTGAAAGATTCTGCAGCAGATTTTGAGTTCTATTCTCTGGCTATTGAGACAAGAAAGAAATGGATCACCTTGGCCTTGATCTAAATAAGCTGATTTTGTGTCATTGCATCATTCAACAAGAGACTTTGTACACAGTCCATGTGACTGAACAATGTTGTATCAATAGCAAAATCAAGCATTAACTTTATCAAAAGTAAATGATTAAATAGTTGCCAGTTAGAGCTATTGAAGAAGAGCCATTGAAAAGCTTTGAACCAGTTTATTATTATGAAGTGCAATGGCTGAGCTGATGGACTATCCAGATGTGGTTTTATGACTTGAGGAATGAAGTGAGATTTTTCATGACAATGAATGGAAAACCAGTGGTTGAGCTGAGTGATCCAAAGTGGTTGTGTGACCTTGCATTTATAGTTGACATTACTCATTACTTGTCAAAGCTCAATGTCAAATTGCAAGGGTCTAACCAGCTTCTTACTTCTGTTCTTGCTAATGTCAAATTAGTTGAAGGTAAATTAAAGCTGTAACAAATGCAACTGAAAAGGGCAACGTAATGCATCTGGAAAACGGCAAAAGGAAGTATTTCTTCATGCAGCACACAGTAAAGCTGTGAAACTCCTTTCTAGAGGATGTTGTGAAGACCAGGATTTAAACAGGATTCTTTCTAAAAAGAACTAGATACCTTCATGAAATTCTTGATAGGTCCCTCAATACTTATTAGTCAGGATGGGTAGGAATAAATGCACCATTTAATGTAGAAGTACTTGATGTACCTGAAGCCTTTCAACATGAACTCAGAGAAATGCAAAGCAACAGTGAACTTATGGCTAAATACAACAACATGCTTCTGCGGGAATTCTACACACTCTATGTAAGTGCAGATAAATTTCCAAATTTGGGACAGGCACTGAAAATTGCATCACTGTTTGGTACTACATACTAACTTGAACAGTTATTTTTGAAGCTTTCTCTTGTGAAGAAGTGCCTGCACGTCTGTGTCACATTATTGGATTTTAAGGGAAGAAGCCAGATCACTGCTGCACCCATGGGGGTGGAGGAGTGTTTGCCCCAAAGTCTGTACAAAGGGGGCCATGTGAGGTGTCAAATGAAAGCTTGTGTTCTACTGATTCTATGTATGCTATTCATGTACTTGAGTGACATGTTTGTGGATTTATAAATATGGATTCTGTGTGTGACCCGCTCCAGCTTGGAAGGTACCAGGGGCTACGTCTAGACTACATTCCTCTGTCAGCAGAAGGATGTAAATGAAGCACTTCGAAAGTGCAAATGAAGCAGGGATTTAAATAACCCGCGCTTCATTTGCGCTTTCAAAGTGCTTCGTTTACATCCCTCTGCCAACAGAGGGGTGTAGTCTAGACACACCCAGGAATGGATATAAAGTTCCATGAGGCAGACTCCATCTTGTCTTTAATTCTGCTTTTGATCCGAGATGCAGCCTTGCGAGGGACAGAGAGCTGGGAAGGATTGTTTACTCATCCTGTCATATGATGTACACCAGAGACATTTAAGACAGCAGTTTGTAACACCTCTGCTGAGAGCCTGCATCAAGAACTTGGCGATTGGTGCATGTAATGTATTCTCCTTAACCATCCTTACTCTCAACCTTTTCTTTCCTTTATTAATAAACCTTTAGATTTTAGATTCTAAAGGATTGGCCCAGCGTGATCTGGTGGGTAAGATCTAAAGTGTAAATTGACTGGGGATCTGTGGCTGGTTCTTTGGGACTGGGAGAACCCATTCGGGGTGTGTGTTAGGCCCGGGGCTGATTGTGGCACAGGGAGAGCTTGGTTGTCCGAAGGGTTTTGCTTGTGAGGCTTCCTGCTGGCTGGATTGGCAGCTGAAGCGCTCAGTGTGACTGGTTTGTGGCCTATTTGGGAAAGGCCTCCAGTCAGGGGCTGTAAGGAGCCCTGATTTTGAGCAATTCGTCCTGAGTGGACACCCTCAGTGGTGCCCAGATCTGGCCCGGTCCATCACAGGCTGATTAACAGACACAAATCTGGAAAGCCATTTGCAAGTACAGTAGCAACATCTTGAGACCCAGCAGACATAACGAGGCTCACCAAGAAAAAGCAACCTCAGTCATCATAGCCCTCAAGGCAGGATCAAGCTCTGTCTACACCATCCCTGACAGATGTCTATCTAACCTGTTCTTAAATATCTCCAGAGAGGGAGATTCCACCACCTCCCTTGGCAATTTATTCCAATATTTGACCACCCTGACAGTTAGGAATTTTTTCCTAATGTCCAATCTAAACCTCCCCTGCTGCACTTTAAGCCCATTACTCCTTGTCCTGTCCTCAGAAACCAAGAGGAACAAATTTTCTCCTTCCTCCTTGTGACACCCTTTTAGATATTTGAAAACCGCTATCATGTCCCCCCTTAATCTTCTTTTTTCCAAACTAAACAAGCCCAGTTCATGAAGCCTGGCTTCATAGGTCATGTTCTCTAGACCTTTAATCATTCTTGTTGCTCTTCTCTGTACCCTTTCCAATTTCTCCACATCTTTCTTGAAATGTGGCGCCCAGAACTGGACACAGTACTCCAGCTGAGGCCTAACTAGTGCAGAGTAGAGCGGCAGAATGACTTCACGAGTTTTGCTTACAACACACCTGTTGATACAACCTAGAATCATATTTGCTTTTTTTGCAACAGCATCACACTGTTGACTCATATTCAACTTGTGGTCCACTATGACCCCTAGATCCCTTTCTGCCATGCTCCTTCCTAGACAGTCGCTTCCCATCTTGTATGTATGGAACTGATTGTTCCTTCCTAAGTGGAGCACTTTGCATTTCTCTTTATTAAACCTCATCCTGTTTACCTCTGACCATTTCTCTAACTTGCTAAGGTCATTTTGAATTATGTCCCTATCCTCCAAAGAAGTTGCAACCCCACCCAGTTTGGTATCATCTGCAAACTTAATAAGCGTACTCTCTATCCCAATATCTACATCATTGATGAAGATATTGAACAGTATGGGTCCCAAAACAGACCCTTGAGGAACTCCACTTGTTATCCCTTTCCAGCAGGATTTAGCACCGTTAACAACAACTCTCTGACTACGGTTATCCAGCCAATTATGCACCCACCTTATCGTGGCCCTATCTAAGTTATATTTGCCTAGTTTATCAATAAGAATATCATGCGAGACCGTATCAAATGCCTTACTAAAGTCTAGGTATATGACATCCACCGCTTCTCCCTTATCCACAAGGCTCGTTATCCTATCAAAGAAAGCTATCTGATTAGTTTGGCATGACTTGTTCTTCATAAACCCATGCTGGCTATTCCCTATCACTTTATTACCTTCCAAGTGTTTGCATATGATTTCCTTAATTACCTGCTCCATTATCTTCCCTGGGACAGACGTTAAACTGACTGGTCTGTAGTTTCCTGGGTTGTTCTTATTCCCCTTTTTATAGATGGGCACAATATTTGCCCTTTTCCAGTCTTCTGGAATCTCCCCTGTCTGCCATGATTTTTCAAAGATCATAGCTAAAGGCTCAGATACCTCCTCTATCAGCTCCTTGAGTATCCTGGGATGCATTTCATCAGGACCTGGTGACTTGCTGACATCTAACTTTCCTAAGTGATTTTTAACTTGTTCTTTGTGTATCCTATCTTCTATACTTACCCTCTCTCTGCTTGTATTCACTACATTAGGCACGCCTCCAGACTTCTCAGTGAAGACCGAAACAAAGAAGTCATTAAGCACCTCTGCCATTTCCAAGTTTCCTGTTACTGCTTCTCCCTCCTCACTGCTTTTCCCTCCTCACTCCTGTTACTGCTTCACCCTCCTCCCTCCTCACATATAAAGAAGAGCATCACACTAAAGGGGTGCTTTGTGGTTTTGTGTGTGTATGCTTCTCACTTTGGGGCTGTTTTACTTTTTTTTTTTTTGGCTTCTCACTTGTGTGTAGCTTGACTGATTTTTCTGTGGATCAGAGGCCCAAGACCAAAAAAGGTTCCCCACCCATGAGTAAAGCAACACATTACATTTGCTTATTACGTTTCCTAACATCTTTTAAAAAGTTCTTTAAATTAGGCAAGTAGTTTTTTACTTCATTCCTGATTTTCAGAACATTACCAGACACTCACTTCCTTATCCGTTCTTTTCTCTCTTTTAGTTTTGATCTTCAGCCACATAGAGGGAGACTTTCATGAGAAGCAACCTCCTTGTATCTCTTCATAACTTGGAGTCCCTTTTCCACCAGTGCTGGAATTCTCATTATTCCCTCTACACCCGCTCCACCCCCATTTACTTAATTGCTAATCTTTAAATCCTCTTTTTGCTTTAATATACTATACTTCAATATACTATTGAGTCTCCCCCTATCAATATCTCCCATCTCTTACTTGCATCATATATTTCTCTTTCATACTACAAGTTGAGTCTCTCTAGTCCAACACTCTTTGGTCCAGCAACTCTTTGGTCCGTGGTCCTGAATGATTTTAGTTAGCTGGCTGTCTACTCTACCATGGATATGGCCAAGTTTCCCAGGGTTCCATAAAGCTTGTTTACCACCACCAGTCTCGACTGTCAGTGTTCTGTGTCTTGTTTAGCTTTAATTTAACCCTAAATGCTTCTAACAGACCAGTAAACAGTGGAGATGTTGGTAATGCTGCTAGACAATACTGACCTCCCATGCTTTGGCAAATTCTCTGGCTTGGTACAAGTCAGGTCCTGAGGGTGCCGGACTAGCGAGGTTTAATATGTAACAGGATAGTAAGTAAAAATATGTATTTGTATTGTACTGTTTTTAATGAGTAGTTTTTCTTTTTTCATATTCTGGTTAATCTCTATACACTATTTTACTTTGCAGATTTTATTAATATATTGTAAGGACACTCAGTTCTATACTAATTTTCTGTTGGTGCAAAGCTTTTTGGAATATGGCAGTTTGCATGATGGATATATAAAAAGAAATTAAGTGAAAGCAAACAAAAATGTATTGGGCACAATAGAATACATAAAGTGTCTCTTTTCTGAAAAATGATTAAAAATATTGCACGCTCAGTAATTTAAAGAGTACATTTGTTTCATCAACAAAAAAGAAGTTTGTAATGGCAATTGGTCTACTGCTATCCTACAAACAGAACCTGGTAGTTGAAAGTTAAGCTGGTTCATTCAACATCCCCATTACACGGATTCTACAGGCCAAAATTTGCTCTCAATATACCCAAGCACCTCCATTGCCTTCAAATTCCCTTTTCAGTTGCATTTAGTCATCCCATCGTTTTCAATAGAAATGCACAGTTGTAAAGGAAGGCAGTATTTGACCTCTAGAATAGACAGAATTCTACATTCTGAAACAAATCAAGTACACACTGTAAATAAGTGCTTCTTTTACACACTCATTTTTCAAGTAAGAATTACATTTTGAGAATGAGGAAATAACTGATTTCCCACAGTTCACAGCTCCCTCTGAACTAATATATAAATATTCTAAAATCTAACAAGGATACATGTATAGTTATAGCTGTTGCTGTTGTTATTGTGAGTATACCATGAGTAGTTGTGTTAGGGAAAATGCAACTCTATTGCTCCAGTATGCACCAATGATTGTATGCTGTTCCATTGTTATGTAAATGCAAGGTTGGAACACTAACAACCATAGGCATCATACAGTAGCCGGACTGGAAAACCAAAGCAAAGAAGATGAGAGAATTTTAATTTATTTTCTCTGTGCCATAAATAATTTTAATTAAATGGAATCAATTACATGTTATAAATGTTTTACAAGCCAGATGATATTATCGTCAACATAGCCACCTATATTTGTGTAGTCTTTTTACCTGTTCTATGTTGCGGCTATAGAAATCTCTAACTTGATCTTCTGTTAATGTCTTCTCCTCTTCTGCTGCTATGTGAAAGCCTGCTTCTGTAATCTTTAATTGCAGATGAGCCATCAAGTTCAACAGCATTACAGGGGGACAAAACCAGCAATATTAGTTTGTTTACATATTTTTGCCATGATTCTAAAAAAATATTTTTGTGCAGAATCCTACATTTGAGGTAATATGAAATATCACTAATATGGTAATTTGTTCATTCAGTCCAACTAAATTTCCATCTTTTCAAAGTACTGGACTGGGTTCAAGTATGTGATATGCATTAAAATAAAGAATACTTTAGTTACACATTATTTACTTTAATATACATATTTTATTGAAAATCTGACTGACCATAAAATCTTTACTATGCAGCAGTCTGTCAGGTACTTGTGTATGTACATTCCTAGGAGATTGATCTACTGCAGGGGTGGGAAAGATATGGCCTGGGGCTGGATCTGGCTTGCTAAGCCTTTCAATCCGGCCCATGGCACACAGGCAGGTAGCAGCCCCAGAGCAGCTGGCTGCTCCATCTGTCTCTCTGTGTTGGAAGGAGAGGGAAGCTTCATGCACTGTGAACCCCTTCCTTCATTCAAACTCCCTCTCCTATATCTCTATTCCCTACCCTGAGCTCCCTTCTGCCTGCAACCTCCATAGAGAAATATAGCCCTTGACCACTTATCAAAATTTTGGAGTGGCTCCTCCATCAAAAATTATTGCCCATCCTTGGTCTATTGCCATTACAAAATAGATACTCACTTTTTATTATGATGTACTTCCTTTTTTATTTTAGAATGTAAAATGACTTGACTATTTTTAAGTCCCACTGGCATGGTAGAAATATGTTTATGTAAAGTAGGCATGCATTGACATAATGTGTATTACCATGTGTACTCTCTGCATGGCATGCACTGTATGTGTGTATATCCACAAATTTATGTTCTAAAAATAGAAATTACTATCCTTAACCAAATGTTGTAGCTGTCTATAAATTTATATCCTTACGAGTGTATAGTCTGTGACTTTACTTTCTCAATGTATATGCATAAGCTATGCATGCCTGTATACATTCACACAGATGTGTAAAGAATTGGGTAATTTGAGCTTGTTTATTTGTAGATCTAGAATTTTGAAAGATACTGCTGTGAAAAAGAGAATGTTTTTCATATTTGTAAAATTATTTTCTGTGACTCATCTGCACTATCCCAGAATTGATGGTTAATTTTCACTCACCCTTAAAATGTGGAAAGAATGAGGAACTGTTGGGAGATCGGGTAAGCAACTTAGGACGCTTCAGTTGGAATAGTTCTGTGTCAATCAATGATCTGCATAGTATAATTCAGTTCATACCTTTTCTAGCAATGCAAAATATGGTAAACAGCATCATCTTGAAAATCATATGTCTCCAGTCACAACCACTTTATGTCTGTCAGTTTTCCAGGATAAATATTAGTGGATATAACTTTAGCGTTTGTCCTAAATTAATATCTAATTGTACTCCTATCTCACTATCTTGGCACTTAACCAAACATAATGGTTGGGGTTTAAAAGCTTTGTTTACCTTTTGTTTAATATCTTCTAATCTTCCATTTGCAACGGCATCAGGTTTTATAATTGCAACAGTGTATATGACTCCTTCTACAGGAAAAGGGAGAATATATATGCATATTTATAAGCATATTTATTGAAATATATACATAGACTAATTTACTTTCTGGACTTACAACCTGAGCTCTCCATATTCTTCCTTTAAAATGATTTTGGATTCTGCCCACTAAGACAGTGGATCCTGGAAACCAATAGCAGTAGAGGTTCAAACGTGCATTATAAACCTTTATACATGAATCACACACTGAGATGCAATTCTTTTTTCCTACTGTTCAGACTTTAATTCTACATCTTTGAATATAGAGATAAGGAGGATGAGATTATATGTATGAAGTAGATCCATTATGTGAAAGGAAAGCTATTATCTATAAGTGGAGTTCCTCCTATGCACACAGATCTTCCTCAGCAGTCTCGCATACATCAGAATTGCAAATCCTGGAATAATTTACAACTATAAAATAGAGGAGCAGCACTCATGCTTGTGGAGTTCAATATTCAAAGCAAGGTTATAATAGGGTTAATTTTATTAAATTATTTGTAATGGAAAGGTCTCTGAAAAAGGCTGCGAAAGAGGGCAGGTAAGTAAATATTTGCAGAGGAAAGATACTTGCATAACACTATATAAAGGTAAACAGACTTCCATTTTTAAAGGGTTAATTTTGCAGCCAGAGAGCATGATGACGCCATTCTGTCACCTGGCAGGAAATACTTTTTTATAGAGAGAGAGATAATAATAACATAAGCATATCTGATATTAGTTTGACCACTTTACAAAATTGCTATGCACCTGCATGTGATAATTACTACATTAATGTAATTTGTTGGTACAAATGGTCTGATTTCCTTACTGTCTATAAGACAAAACTGATCCCTCATTTGACTTCTTTCACAATCTTTTGTGTTACCAACTAAATCAAATGAAAGTTTTATGACTGGACACACATAATCCTGTAACCAAATAACTAACAAGCTACTTGTTTGAATTTTTTCCTTGTGCTAATCATATTTACCGTCAAGTTGGCTTTCTTCAGTGGTTATTTCTGATGCTTTTTCTTCTAAAAACACAAGCTCTTGTACCTGAGAAAATTGCAGTTTTTATGTGGTTACTTTGTCAGTGTGAAGTTAATATTGAGGTGGCATGGGCCAGTAGAAAGCCCTTTGGAAGCCATGTAAGTTGTGTGTTATTCTGGATCTGCCAGTAATGTTGACAAAAATCACTTCATCGTTCTTTCTCTGTTTTTCCTCACAATTAAAACTACTGCAATGTTAATTTAGCCTCACTACATAAAGATGGGCGTAACTGGAAATTTCCAATCTATTTCTCTGATAAAAGTAAAATATGAATTTAACATCAAAATTCTAGCAATTTAAGGGTGTGTCTAGACTACATGCCTCCATTAATGAAGGCATGTAGATTAGACAGATAGGCAAAGGGAAATGAAGCCGCGATTTAAATAATCGCGACTTCATTTAAATTTACATGGCTGCCGCGCTGAGCCGACAAACAGCTAATCAGCTGTTTGTCGGCTCAGCGCGCTAGTCTGGACGCTCCGCGACGACCTGAGGGGGTGTTGATTGGCGCGAGGGGGGCGCCCAGACTAGTGCGCTGAGCCGACAAACAGCTGGTCAGCTGTTTGTCGGCTCAGCGCGACAGCCATGTAAATTTAAATGAAGCCGCGATTATTTAAATCGCGGCTTCGTTTCCTTTTGCCAAATAAACAAATCTACATGGTTCCGTCGACGGAGCCATGTAGTTTAGACATACCATAATATGAGCAACTGGTAATGCAAGCAAGGGAAGGCATTGACTTCCAAAAATTGCCTACACTGACCAGCTGCCTGCAAGGGGGTGAAACTGCACCACATGGCAGCTCAGCTCCCAGGAAAGACTGGGGCCATGCCATGTGGCAGCCCAGCAGCAGAGGAAGGCTGGGGCCAGGCCGTGCAGCAGCGCTGGCCCTCAGTTGGGGTTGGGTAGAGCTTGTCTGAGGAGTGGGGGGAAAGATTGTCAAGGGGCCTGGTCTCAAGGAAGGGGTGTGGCTTTGGGCAGAAGGGTTGGGGCTTTGGCTGCGTTCCCCAGCTGGGCCTTTACCTGCTGCACAAGCAATCCAACCTAATTATCGAATCTCAATTATTCACAAATTTCAAGTGGGTTTAGAAACAGGCAGTCTTGTTGCTGATAACATAAGAAAAATAATGTATTTATATCGCCAAGTTATCTCTTCAGCAGCTTTATCCCTAGAAGAATAAGATCTCATGCAGTGCTAAGACAATTTAGGTTTATTCTGATTTTTCGTAATCCAGTTGTACAGTAAACTTCCGATAATCCGGCACCTTTAGGACCCAGGGGCTGCTGGATTATCAGATATTCCGGGGTACTGGAAATAAGAAAAATAATGTATTTATATCGCCAAGTTATCTCTTCAGCAGCTTTATCCCTAGAAGAATAAGATCTCATGCAGTGCTAAGACAATTTAGGTTTATTCTGATTTTTCGTAATCCAGTTGTACAGTAAACTTCCGATAATCCGGCACCTTTAGGACCCAGGGGCTGCTGGATTATCAGATATTCCGGGGTACTGGAA